ATGTGGTAGTGTTGAAAGTCATGGCATTAGGGTGGAATGAGTTCCAGGTAAAATAAATGATGTGCTGTTGGAGGTAAAGTATTTAATTGCTCCACAGGTAAAAACCTGTGGCGGATACTGGAATTTGAAATGGAGGGGTCCAGGGAAAGAGTTTTAAAGATGGACGGGTCTAGCTACCTCAGTCCCACCATGGTTTGGCTGAGGTACAAAACTTTATTTCTATGGCACCTCTAGATGGCCAAAAATGACACTAATATATTAAAAGAATTAAATTTTAATGCAACTTTCTTTTTCTTTTTCAGTTCCATTTTTCTTTTGATTAAGTTAAACGACATAAAGTAATACTAGGCCTACATAGTAAAAATTATTATTTATATTTAACCTCTTTTTGGTGATTTTAGTGAATACAGCATACTGTACAGTACAGTAGTTGGTCAGTTGTATCAGGTTTATGTATAGTTTTACATACAAGTCAGTGTACTTAATACCCAAATGATCAGCTACTACTATATGCTGGATAGATCTTCCTCTCTAATGGTGGTTATTCATCAACAAAATTTATAAAAATGTGGCATTTTTATTGCTTGTTTCCTTTTCCACTTGTTGATTGCAGGCACTGCATATTTTAATGTTTGAAGAAAGTTAGGCCAAATAAAAAAATTACTAGTGTCTCGTTCCCTTGTTCATCCATTTTCTCTGCCTCACCAATTTTTTTAATTTTATGTAATCTCTACGAAAATCTGTCTAATCACATCAGTAAAATTCCTTTCTCGATCATTCATGGTTATGGGGATTTGGTATGAACCATGTCTAGTGCTTCTTTTATTTGCTTTCATTGTGTCTACAGGTACTTGTTAAAAGTGGGAAAGTAGTTTCCCATCTCCCATCTTGGATTTGCCTTCTCGGAATAAAGACATAAAAGAGTGCCCTCATTCTCCTTTTTTCAAATTATAGGACGAGAAAATACTTTTTTTTGACTTGGCCTTGTGTTGAAAATAATGTTGAAGGTTGAATTTTTAAGTAACCATGTTTCATTCCGTAAATGTTTGTTTGTTATAATTCTTAGTTTATCGTTTGAAGGAGGGACGTCGAAACCCCCAAAAGCCAGAGGATTTTTGTGTTTTATGGGTCTACAGTAAGTACAGTAATGATATAAAAGCAGTTATGTTTAAAAAAGTTCTGCAGAAAAACATTCTGTCCGAGTCTAGGCGGGTCACAGTGCAGTGCATTATTTACGTTGGAGGACTTGTTTGCAATATTCGAGGGTGAGGGGTTTTGTCAGAAAAGAGGGGTGTGCTAGAAAAGGAGGGTTTGCTCGAACCATAAAAACCCCCGCTGGCTACGGGCCTGCTTAATCATCAGTTGCATTATTTATAATTCAGTTCCAGAATTAGTACGCTGTTATAGGTATTTCAATGATATTGTATTCGCACAGCCACCTTTATTTCACAGACTATTATACCTCCAGATGTGTGAGAAATGTGTGAGATTGACAAGCACTTTTGGCCCAAAATAACTTTAACCTAGGTCATTTTTGAACAGCTTTCTACTTGTTTTTGAAGATGGTTTAATAAGCTGTCTACTTTGCTATTGGTCTGGTGTCAGTATTTTGATGGGTTGCAGGCGAAAAATGGAAACACTGTTTTGTTAGTGTTACTAGATGATATTTAATTCTTTCCTATAGGTAGTCAATTTTGTGCATGAATATATAGATGATGTTGACATGTGGAGATTTTTATATTTGTATTCATAGAGGAGAGTCTTTTTATGTCTCTGTCAAGGCCAGGAAACTATTCTTTTACTACATACTTTAGCCCTTTAATAATAGTTAATAATAATGTTACATAAATTTATATCTATAGCACGTAATGCAAAAAGCTACTCAAATTTCTAATGAATTTATTTGCAATTATTTATTCACAATTCTTTTTTGTTCATCCACTTTTGTATTCCTGTCTTTATTCTTATTCTTAAAATTTTCAACTGACATAGTAGACCTAAAATCTAGCAAAATTGAAAAGACGATTAAACTTCAAATAGATGAAATAATATTAAATTAACTTGTATCGTTTTACCAATCCACTCCTTTTTTCAATTTCTAACTGTTTCCATTCTCGTCAGCTGACATCACTCTTTGTCAAAAATAAGCAAAAAATAATTGTCAATGAAAATTCTTGAAAGAGTTACAAGAATATAGTAATTAAATATGAATGAAAATTAGTTTGAATGTTTTTTCTATTCAATAATAATACTACCAGTATGATAAATTACGCAAAAAGTATTTATGCCTAGACATTGAGTAAAATAAATGATTAAAAAATACAGATACAGTATGCAGTGGAAATGTTAAACCATTTTTGTTTACTATTTGCTATCTAAAGTATTTGAGGAATGTAGGCAATCAAGCAGATAAGGTTTCCTGTAGAGCTTGTACTTAGGCCATTCTTTGATATCATAACAAAACAAAAGCTGTGTGAAGCCATAGCGATATAGCTCTTCCAATGCCATTTGTATTAATTCATCTTTAAAGATATTTTGTTGTGAAATTTAGGAAACAAACCTTAAAAATTGAATAAACAAGAATTGAATTTATAATTTCAAAGGATCAGCTTTCAATAAGGCACTGACTGAAACATTTCCATTTTCGCTGGTTTTACAGATGATTTACTTCGAAAAAATCCTTACATTGATTACTATACTGGGTCTATAAAAAAGAATTAAAGAACAGTAGAGTTTTGTTTATGCTTAGACTGTTAATTGGTGGGGAAAATATTTCTGGTTTTAGCCTTCTCAGTTATAAGCTAACTCAAATCTTGGATAAATTGCCAGAAGAGAACAGAGATCTTTTTACTGTAAATTACAGTAGTATACCTACAATGTTAATTTATTTTTTTAGGTGACTTTTGACCTCTAATATTATAGGCCTACAGTATGTTAAGGCTAGATTTCGGATGGGGATGGTTCATGGTGGCGTGACTTATTGAGAAAGCAGAATTAAATCACTACTCCAATGAAAAGTCAATGGTCACTTTGAATTTTTATCTTTATGACCCACTAATAGTCGAACTACGGCAGCATTGGGGTGCATCCGTGGCTACACCCTACAGTATGCCCACGGTATTAACATAACATACTATAATCCAAGATGTCTTTTTTAAAGCTTTTTAGCTTAAAAAGAACACAGCTTAGCACTATGTTTATAGGAGGGCAAAATATAAAGTGGGTTTTAAATGATACGTTTGCTGAATGGTTTTTGTATACTACCTATGGTACATATTTATTCACCCTTTATGATTTTGTGTGCAACAAAACAATTTGTTATTTAATCCAAAAATGTGTAGTATTCTGGAAATTCCATAATTTAATGGTATTTTTAATGGGTTTCTCAAAATGAATGGTGTATTTTTGAACAAGTTTAGAAAACTAGTAAAATTATTGTGCAAAAAAGATCATGGTCATGATTGTTAGTTAAGATGACAAATTGGAAACTGGAAGGGATGAAAAATTTGGAAACTAGTGAACCCCATTGATCTGTTTTATTCGAACGGTGGTTAAAGTTAAACAATCAAAATCGGAGGGTTTAAACTACTTACTGTATATTGAGTAAAAGATTATGCGGATTGTCTGTTAAAATACATCTATTTCAACAAGTTGGCAAGAATGTGTAATCATAGTAAAAAAAATGTGATTTAAAGGTGTTAAAACCATTCTACTTATGGACGTTAAGTTAGACCAAAGTCTGTACTACCTCGTTTGTTGGTTTGGTTTTTTAGTTGTGAAACATACCATGGATTTATATTAACCCACAAACACCAAAGATTTATTTCAGTGTGATTCTTCGTACTTTAGGTTATTGATATTATCTTCTGTTAAAAACACATAGAAAAGTCTTTAAATTTAAATACTGTATAAAAAATATGCTATGACTTCATTTTATTACTTTTCTGCTTTCGCAACAGTATGTGGAAATGGAGTTTTTATGCCCCTTTATGGGAGCCAATACTGTATATACAGGACTTGCATGGAATTTAGGCAAGACTGTATATAATTATAATATTTCTATCCCATAATTCTGTGTCCTGAGACAAGATTGAATGATCATATGACCTAGGTTTTCGTACCTATGTAGTTACCATCTCTCAGGTGGTATCCATTGGAATGTTTTCTTGGCTTCCATTCAACAACTACCTACTGTATGTAGCAAGTACAGAGGATTTACCGCCTAGCCCTATCACAGCCATTACTCCTTGATCAGTCAACTGTTGTACCCTTACTGCAATGTTAGCAAGTTGAGACAAATATTTGAGCTTAGTTTGTGGAGATTTCATATTCAGAAACAGTGATATTATACACATCCAGCTTTGAATACAAGATATAAATTGTTTTAAATGTGACTCCTGCTTTCTTTGTATTTTTGTTTAAATATTTTTTTCTGCAAATGATGCCTTTTCTTTATAAACTTGAGGTGATACCATTGTGATATAAAGTGTGAAGTATTGACTTTTATATTATAATGCTACACATGATATAAAAATGTTCATTTTTTTTCTTTAAAACAATTGTAAACAGTATTGTATCTTATGTTCAATATCTGGTGGGGTATGCAGCAGGTCACTAGGACCTTATTGGAGTAATTGGAGTAGTGACCTTACCCTGTGATGCATAGTTTTGTCAGGGTATGCAGGTCATTAAGACCTTAGTGGAGTAACATCCCTACCCCAGGTGCATAGTGTAGTTTGATTAGGTTTTCGGTATGCGGGTCATTAGGACCTTAGTGGAGTGATGTCCCCACCCCATAATGCATAGTTGTTAATATTCTCTGTATTTTCAATTTGTCACTTATTGCCATGTTTTGTTTTTTTTGGTTTTTTTTGTGCTGATATTGGCCCTTGATAGCATTTGTAGCATTAAAGAAATTGAATTGAAATTTAGTGGAATGTATAGTAGTACTATACTATAGTTTTATAATGTCTAATTTTTTTAATTTTTTTTTTTTGCAGATTTCAAAGGTTGTCATTGGATGAGGTTAGAGACATGTGACTGGATGCGTAGGACTTTTTATTCCTGGGAACTTGAAGTTTGCCATGGAAAGCAATCTAAAGCCTTTGCCGTCAAATCAAAAATATGTTAACGTTATACTCTTAGATGGTGAACAATCAATCATTGCTGTCGAGGTACGTGGTCAACTTTATTCAAAAATATGAAACAAACAAGAGGTTGCTAGAAGAAATTAAAAATAGGCTTTCAGCTGGAGCGTGTGTCAACGCCCTACAGTATACTGTATTGCCTTCTCTATTATGTTTATCTAATAAGTATCTGCATGGGATGCTGTTACTGTATCAGGAAATATGTGGTGTACTTTTTTTATAACTTTTGTACAGTAATAAGGTACTTAAGATGACACATGACCCATCATGCATCTCCACCCGGATTTACCCTTTCAGCCATCTTTAACTGCCAGATGACAACATAGTGTCTTTGCCCCCGAGAGAACATAAACACAAAATTACATTGATTTAAAAACAAATTCTTGTGTAACTCAGATGACTTCCATCTTTTAAATCCCAGTGACAGATAGGTACCACACACAAGAGTATTCATTCAATAGAATATTGAATATTGAAAAATAAATCATATTACCGTAAATGCTTGAATAAGCTCCGATCTCAAATAAGCGCCGCACCAAACCTGATTTATTTTGCTAAGTGCCCCTCTCGAATAAGTGGCGCGGCGCTTAATCAAGAGTATTATTGCCCTGTGTGTAATGAAACACTTTGAGAAACAGGGTTTTAAATATCATGTTGTTATAGTGTTAAAATGAATAAATTGCACAATGAAGACACAAGCGACCTTATAAACGTTTATTTACGATGACGTATGACCTATAATTGGCCTACGGGAATACGTGAGATAGGGAACATGGGAAAAAACTTGTTATAAGCGCCGCTCTCAATTAAGCGCTGCACTGAAGCCTCCAAAAATGTTATAAGAACACGGCGGTTAATCGAGCATTTATGGTATACAAACATTAAAATTTAAATTATAGGTAAAAATTAAAAAGATTATTTAAGAATTCAATTATATATAAATGTAAAATATAATTCAGATTTACATAAGATATTAGCTACTAAATACAGTTTTAATGATATCATGACTGTTTGCACATGATGTACAGTGTACTAAGTAACCATTTTCTTATGAAGGTAAAATGGAAAGTACAGGATTTATTTGACCAAGTCTGCATGCTTGTTGGATTTAAAGATGACCAACTCTTTGGATTGTCAATAGCACGTCAAGAGTCAAGTAAGTTAAAGTATGGCCTTTGAGGGCTTTTATTCCAATCCATCAATGATTTTGCCTTTAAAGAATTCCACCCGAAAATATAAAGCCTTTTAATATCACATTGCTTATCCTTAACTTCGCATATCATTCAATGATATTTAAACATATTATACAGATTATGATGAACAAAAAATAAAACTTTGAACTGAGAGCATGATTTTTGCTATGCTATGCTATGACACAAACACATTTAATTTATAGTTTGTTTGCTAACATTACCATTAGGCCTGTGTTGAATACAAGTATCTGGAGCATACTGCAGGAACAAGATTTTCTAATACACACAAGAATTTTTGTATCAGTACCATAAAATTGAATATTTAAAATCATATCATCAATAACAACACTTGTGGTAATGTAGATAAAAAATATTATATATGGTACAATAAACAGTTTATTTTTATATACGGTAATAAAATATTTAAAAAATTGTTGTTATACAGTATCTATTTTTGTGCTATAATATATCAAAATTGTTATAATGTTTTTAGATTATATTAATATATGAGTTTCTTATACCCAAGAACATGATATTTTGTTACTTATATTTTGTTGTATTGTATACTGGAATCAACTGTATGTATAACAAAATTGGTATATATTTAGCTTGTGTTGAATATGAGTTTCTGGAACCGAAGAACAAGATTTCCAAGTATGCACCAAAGGGATGGAAGACAGACTCGGGCAGTGTAAGTTCACCATACTTGAAATTTATTTACACCTCAAAAACTGCCAACAAAAAAGCATATCCTTGATGATATTGTTTTTGTCAGATTGCCAGTTGGCTGGACCTTTGTTATATTAAGATGATGCATTCCAACCCTATAGAAATCTTTATTAATACAATACAGTGGCATTCATTATTTTTATTATTAATATATATTTTTTTATTATTTTAAAACTTATTGATATGAATTTGCTTGTCCATTATTTTTATACTGATGCACAATAATTATAAATTATATCAGGTAAAGAATTAAAGGATTATTTAAAATTTCATATAAATATATATCAATAAACATTAATTACAAGGGATATTTAATATTTAGAAACATTCTTTTATGCACTGTATTTGATCAATAAAACATAGAAAGAACTATTTTACACCATATTTTATCTATCAATCAAGTACAAGTGGTCATTCATAGTGTTACAGTATATCATCATGACCATATGGAAATAATTATGGAATTCAAAAGTGCAGTGTAATAAAAAGTAATTTTATTACAAAAATCCCAATATTGGGAAAATTATAATAGCAGTGCGTTTATAGGCATGGGGAAATGTTTATCTATTTGTGAAGTGGGGCCATTTTCACAGGGGCCATTTTTTGGCCTAAATTATTAGCAGTAACTATTGTACACTAAAAATGTTGCTCAGTGTTTACCAACTGGAACTGGGCATGTGAAAATGTGTCAGATTGACCCTTCTCCAAAAGATTTAGCTATAGATGTTTATGTCTCTTGATCAAAATTTCTACATAACTATTAAATCAATGTGCTACTAATTTTTTTAAATTTACTATTTAAGTTTTGAGGCCTTTTGAAATGGAATATACAAAGTTGACAAATTTGAAAAGCTATTGAACATTGATACATGATGTAATTGTAAGGGATCCTACAATTGTATTCAATTATTGTTGAGTTAGCATTTCTAGTACTGTAACTGAAGAAATAGACAGCAAAGGAATGCGGGCAATTAAAGCACATAGAACCCTTGGTTTTTAGCAAGTACCTTTTTGTAGGCCTCCTTAGATTTACATAGGTGGCATTCCAAAGAGAATTTTAGAGAGAGGTCCAGTTTAGGGGATTTAGTATATATAGGCAATATACATGGGAAACCAAGAAGGAGAATATTAATATTAGCTGTACAGTACAATGATGATTGTGTAATTAATTGTAAGCTGGAAGTTGTCATCAAAAACCTTTGATCAACAATTGATATAATCACTTTATCTATCCTAAGCTAAAAGGAACTCAATTGCAACTTATCTTATTTCATTTTTATTATGAAAATTAAATTCTTTTTCTGTCATTTTCAGTATTTCAATTCATTGCTGCGAAGCAGCCAATTCATATTCTTGACAGCAATTTGACCTCTGAAAGGTCATTGTCAAAAAACCTGCGCCTAAGACAACTGAGAAGCGGAGTTTCCTTCTTTCGTTCTGCCGGGTAAAATCAATTACTTTAGGCAACGTTTGTAGACTAACCTACTCGTACCAACGCCCGCATGTCGCGACGCTGGAGTTTTTACTATATTTCTAGGTTTCCTATTTCTACG